TCACCTCGATATATTTATTTTTGTGGAAAATATGGATTTTTTTTTTAAAACATTGCAATTTCCAATATTTTTGCTGTATGAAGAACTAAGGTTGCTATAGCATAGCATATATGGTCCATCCATAGCCTATGGAGAATGACAGTGACAGTTTTGTTGAATCATCCCATACTTGGACATGTCATATACAGCTTTCAAAAGCTATCAAATTGTTTTTTGTAAATTAATGTGTTAATTTTAAGGTGTCTTCTTACTTTTAAAAATGTCTCCGACTGATGTTGCCCTTTGTACTTTACTTCTTATGACGTTTAAAACACTTGCCACATAATACTGTGACCGTCCATCCTGGATTAAATTAATAGCTCTGGCAACATCAGTCGGAGACATATCCATTTTATAAAGTAGAAAGACACCTCAAAATTTAAACATTAATTTGCAAAAAAAAATTTGATAGCTTTTGAAAGCCGTGTATGACATGTCCAAGTATAGGATGATTCAACAAAACTGTCACTGTCATTCTCCATATGTATATGTCTCTCTGGCCCATAAACCAACCTTATAAAAAAAAATCACGTCGAATCGTTTATTTTAATTAAAAAAAAGTAAAAAAGCAACAATAAAAAAAACGTGCGTTTAAACCACACAGCTGAAGTTCTTTTGGACAATTTAATTAAATTCGTGTTTTGTTTTTATTTAATCGATAATCCTATGTACAGGGTGATCTCCTATAATGTCGCCCCCCTTTAACTTTTTTATTTTAAGTGTACCAAAAAATTTAAAAGTGTAGTTATGTAGGTACTAAAAAAAACAAAAAGTTTATTTTTTTTCAATGGATCACCCTATATATGTATTGATTTTTCGATTCCTTGTAAAATTATAAGCATATTTCATATAGCATACCATATACCTAAATTCAACAGTTTTGTTCAACTTTTTGTTTTTCTTTATATAGAAAAAAAGTATTCTTTAGTACCTACATAACCACACTTCTAAATTTTTTGGGACACTTAAAATAAAAAAGTTAAAGGGGGACGACATTATAGGGGATCACCCTGACGGATATGTTATAGTAGGTTTCCTTGAAGAATTTAACAAACCAATATTTAAATTAAATGTAAGGACAGTCATTACTTTTATTGTGCAGTTTTAAATTACCGAGAACATTTTGATCTTTTGAGCTTATGAGCTTTGTTTGGAGCTTTTAATCATTTTGGCTTTTTTAAGCTATACCAGGTTTTTTTAATTTATACTTACAGCTTTTAAGATTTTAAGTTTTTTTAATTTTTCGAGCTTTTGAGTTTTTTTAAATTATCGATATACCTAATGGAAAATTTCTAGTTCTAAAAACTTTAAAAATTTTGTAAAAAATAAAAAAAAACTGGAAATCTTGAAAAGTTTGACAATTTCTTACCATTTATTATTCAGATGGGGATTTTACATTTCTCAGAAAATTTTATTCCTGATAAAAGTTTTTGCTTAATTTCAAACAGAATATGCGAATTGTCTATAGTTGATTTTGCAATTTTAATTTTTCAGAAAATTTTGGAATTAAGCTTTTTTGATAAAAATCATTTTTGGTAAGCTTTTGTTCATTTGTAATTTTCTTACCAACAAATAAATGCTATTATCACGGTAGGTAGAACTCTATCGGATGTCATTAATTCCCAGTAAACATTCGTGAATTCACAATGGATTCACATGAAGGCATTTTCAATTCATTTCACTTCATCGTGGATTCAGGGTGCCCTCAGATGACGACAAAATATGAAGTCACTGTGAATTCATATGGATTCATTTTACGTTCATATGAATTCACGAGTGGATTTCGGATGAACCTATATGAATTCACCGTGACTTCATAAATTAAGGGTATCTGAAGGTACTGTGAACCTAGTATATATAGTATATACTATATAGATTTATACAAAAGTGTATAATTATTACTATTTTTAGTAAATATTAATATAGAGGAATAATAATTATTATAATAATAGTAATAATTATATACTTCTGCATTATTAATAATGCAAAAGTATAAAAAAACATATATTTTGATAAAAAAATAATCATAAATTCTTAATAAGAAATAAAAAAGTATAAAAAATAAAAATATTACATAAATATGTTATATATAAATAAAAATTAATATGTTATACATAAATAAAAATTAATTGTTAAAAAAACAATTATGATTACAAAGATACAGATACGGATATATCTGTATCCGTATCTGTATCGGACGACTCTTCAAATGACTCCACGCTTTTTTCGACATCGGCCCGTTGTTTGACATCGGCCTGTTGTTGTTCCGTTCCATTTATCTGTATGAACGAAATTTTTAAATATTAGACAACTACCTGAATCACTATGATATGTTATCTTACTTGGGTCCTTAGCTTTCGGATTCTTTGTCTGGTGGCCTGCATATTAATATGACAACTTTATATATGTTGGCTGTTTTAGTTCTTTAGCTGGATTTATACCTAAACTTACCTTTGATTATCAAACACAAACACAAATAATTACTTCCTCATGAAATTTTCCTGGTTTGTTCTATGATTTCCTTCTCGTCGCAAACTACGTAGTATATATAAATTTTAGGGTTAGAAGCAGACTGTTAGAAGACTATTGCGCATGTGTAGTACACACAACATGTGTACTGTAATACGAGGGTATGTCGAATGATACCTACAGGTGTTAATAAAAAAGCTTTGTTAAATCTGAAATATGTAATTTCCGTGGTAACCAAACTTTCATAATATGATATTCAGCCGTATTCACTAAGCAAATTAATTTGCTTTTCGTCCTAGGTGCTGTATGGGTACATTTGTTTGAATTTATCTTAATTACAAAATGACATAATTAACAATTATTAATAATTATAATTATAATTAATTATTATTGTTAATTGGGTCATTTCGTAATTAAGATAAATTCAAAGATGTAATTAAGGTAAATGCAAATAAATGTATACATCGCTATAGCGACTTAAGGCGCTATATACAAACATTTTTGTATACTTTTTTTGACAGAATCTGGTAACACCTGCTGCAGCAGTACTGCGGTGGGATCCATGCTCACTTCACATAAATTCACATCAGCGTAATTTTGTAAATTCCACGGCCGTGAACAAAATGCGGATCCACGTAAACTTCACCAAGATTCACATTAACTTAATGGGTTAATAAATTCCACGGTCGTGAACTGGAAGTGAATCAATCGTGGATCCAGGCGAAGTTCACATAACTTCACATCAGCGTTATTTCATAAATTCCACGGCCGTGAACTGGATGTGAATAAAAAGTGGATCCACGCAAACTTCACGTCAACTTCATTTAGTAAATTACACGGCCGTGAACTGAAAGTGAATCAATCGTGGATCCAGGCGAAGTTCACATAACTTCACATCAGCATCATTTAATAAATTCCACGGCCGTGAACTGGATGTGAATAAAAAGTGGATCCACGCAAAGTTCATGTCAACTTCATTTAGTAAATTCCACGGCCATGAACTGGAAGTGAATCAATCGTGGATCCAGGCGAAGTTCACATAACTTCACATCAGCGTCATTTCATAAATTCCACGGCCGTGAACTGGATGTGAATAAAAAGTGGATCCACGCAAACTTCACGTCAACTTCATTTAGTAAATTCCACGGCTGTGAACTGAAAGTGAATCAATCGTGGATCCAGGCGAAGTTCACATAACTTCACATCAGCGTCATTTAATAAATTCCACGGCCCTGAACTGAATGTGAATCAATTGTGAATTCACGCGAAGTTCACATTAACTTCATTTCGTAAATTCCACGACCTGAACTGAATGTGAATAAATCGTGGATCCATGCGCGCTTCAGTTGGGTTCACATTCGCGTCATTTAGTTAAATCCACGGCTGTGAACTCCATATGAACCCCTTCTGAATTCACGCGGACTTCACATGGACTCACATTTGCATCATTTGGTAAAATTCACGGCTGTGAACCGAATGTGAATCAGTTGTGGATTCACGAATGTTGACTGGGTTTGTTTCTATTAAAAGTATAAAAAATGCAATAAACGGTGATAAAAAAATTATTTTTGGCTATAAATTGAAATGCGTGTTTATAGAAACGACTACTTTTGAGAAATGAAAATTAAATGAAAACTAATCAAAAATGATTTTTATTAAAAAAAATTCAGTCAAAAATTCTAATAAAAATTAAAATTTCAAATTAATACACAATAAAACCTTTTGTCAGGAATGAAATTTTCTGAGAAATGTAATAGTATATTAAAGAACTACTGTCATAAGACGTCATTTTGTCGCACGCGAACAATTTATAAAACGAGCGACGAAGGAGCGAGTTTTATAATGGACAAGTGCGACAAAAGGTCTTATGACATGATTTATCTATTTTGCAAACATTTCATAAAACAAATTAATTTTATACCTTATATTTAATTTGGTCGAATTTTACTTTACATAGTTGGTATCTCAGTTTGAAGTTTGAAAGGTCATTAACCTTTCAAACATCACATTCTTTCGCTATGGCGTCGTTAATTTACAATAAGTATTTACAATAAGCGGCTGTTAAAGAAGAAAAAAGGATTTTCTTTGGTGTTAAACAAAATTTATTGCACGAAAAATCTCGTAAGTACTAGAAAACAAATCATAAAAATATTATAACCTATAGATATTCAATATTTTATTTTACTACTATAAAATCAAAATTTTGGGTGGAATAAAGTACCTCATTAAAGAACCAAAAGCGGTGTTATAATGAAGTCATTATGAACGCGAAATAGATAAAATGTTTTTTTTGTAACCTTATCCACGAACATTTTTTAAATTCATGCTACTTTGCAAATTTTCATGAAATATTCTAATACGCGTCAGACATGTTTCTTCATTCGCAAAGTTTCACTTCAAAAAAATTAAATGATAATAAGCAAAACGTTGAGGCCGTAAAATAAGGGTAAGCTAAAATAATATCTAACCTCATAATTTTTCATCTCCTGCAGCTGCATCAACACGGACGCCCCCTTCTGTCTGGAACCACCACTAAGCGTACCCGACGGATCCGTGACGTCCCCGTCGAGCGTGACGCATCGCTTTCTTATCTTGTCGTGAAACGTGACCTGCCTGGCGACGTTCATATCCTTGCAAATGAAAACGTTGCCGAATATAAACTCCATCGCCGGCTGCAGATGGCGATCGTACTCGATCAGAGACAGCGCCGGCCGGCAGTTCTCCTTGCCCACTAGGTCTTGGGCGAGTTTGACGGTCCGGTCGTCCATTTTGTGCGCCTGCACCTTGTTCAGGGGGATGAAGGTGGTGCGGTTTTGCAGTTGGCCGCGTTGTAGCAGCTTTTTGCCTGTCACGTCTGTATCCACCACCACGTTGTACAGCTGAACAATTTATCAATAATGCGTAATGTAATTTGTGACTAGAGTTCGGCAAAAAATAATATAATTATTTAAATATTGATTATTTAATTAAATTATTATTGCCAAGTAGTTATAAATTTAGTAATGAATGAAAAAATAATATTAACTATTTACTGATTATTCATATTTATATTCAGAAGTTAAAAACAAACAAATTGTTATGTTGTTTTGTTATTTAATAATTATTAGCCAAAATTTAACTAATTAGTTGGATATTTAATAATTAAAGTAAAAAATATTACTAACTATTTGGATATTTAATATTTAGCATTAAAAATTTTACTACATATTTTAATATTAAATTATTAACAGTGAAAATTTTACTAAATATTTGAATATTTAATAATCAACAGTGAAAAACTTACTAATTATATCTATTATTTAGTAATTGAACTGAAATCAACAACAAAATATTACTACAATTAATTAATTAATATTAGAGGAGAAGGTGTAAATATGGAATATGCTTGCAATATGGAATACCTATATTTCTTCCCTATTTTTTGCCAAATTAATTTTTTTTTAATGCAACATACTTTTAATTAATTTAGCCAAAGATTTTTATTCTTAATTGGTTGTTCACTTCTAAATAAAATTTTGAGTTTGATTTCTCAGTTTTAAAACCAATTGCAGCCTAAAAACAAAATAGTATTCCATATTTACACCTTCTCCTCTACTATACCGGGTGTATCTGAGAATAGGCGCACCCTTGTAACTTTTTTATTTAAAAAGATAGACACTTGAAATTTAGCATGGTTCTTTTGGATATAAAATGCCACTTATAAGAGTACAAAATAAATTTTTTAAACTTCCGGTTTCGCCGGAAATGATACCAACTTTCGATTTTTAAATGGAATGCCCTAAATATTTTTACATATTTGGTCGGACAGCATCCTCAAATTGACCTTTCGACGTTTCGTCATCAGAAAATGCAACATCATAAAATCTAGAGTGCTTTGAACTATTTGAGAAAAACGAATTTTGACAAGTTTAGACTGCTGGGAATAGCTGAATAACAACTTTCTAAGGCAAGTTCCATTTTTCAGGCATTGTGTGAATCTATTACAAGAAAATAAGATTTCAAAGCACTCTAGATTGATCTTTATGATGATGCATTTTCTTATGACGAAACGTTAAAAACTTAATTTGAGGATGCTGTCTGACTCAGAATATGTAAAAATAAAAGTTGGTATCATTTCCGGCGAAACCGGAAGTTAAAAAAATTCATTTTGTACTCTTATAAGTGGACTTTTATATCCAAATTAACCATGTTAAATTTTATGTGTCTATCTTAAAAAATAAAAAAGTTACGGGGGTGCGCCTATTCTCAGATACACCCGGTATAATTTATTAAGCCAAAATGGTCAAAATCTCTTAGTTGCACCAGTAGCGGCTCGTGTGTGTAGGCCGCGCCTCCCACTCTAAATGAAGGAACCAACGACCTTTTGTATTTAGTTTTTCACTTATTACAAGTGTACTTTTACTACAGTTCTACACTTGTGCAATAAAAAATAAAAAATCAATCATTCTAATTTTTATATATGTATTACATATATGGTAATTTCAGACTTTTTTAGTAATATAATTTGTCGCCATCTATGACATAATTAAATAACTCTCCACAAATCCCGGAACATGAGATTATTTTAAAAACAGATTTAAAAAAAAAAACGCTGAAACACGTCAACTTTGTTATTTTTCCAGCAATATTTTGGCCTACGTAGTTGTTTCAAATTCTGCCGCGAGGCGGCGCCACAATCAACCCTTTATTTTTGTTGCATTTTTTGATAGCTACCGTTGTCCTGATTACATTGATGTGCCACATCTAGAGGGTTAAATAAGAAAATTTTTGAGAAAAGCAGGTTTTTGCCGCCGAATGAGATTTTGGTATTTTGTCAAACTTAAACACAATCTATGCGTTGCTTATTGTTTTTTGGGAAGCCAATCAGAGCAGTTCACCGTAAACTATTTGGCAGGGGAGCCTCCTGTCCACAAACGAGCGTTGTACGTTTGCCAGTACCGCTGGAGTGATCATCTGGATCTCGGCTTGAATGCAGTGTCTTAGGTTGTCCAAACTTTAAGGCCTGTATACATATACGCGGTTTTTAAGCTGTCCCCATAAAAATAAGTCTAAAGGGGTCCAATCGGGCGATCGCGCTGGCCACTAGATTTGACCTCTTCGACCTATCCAGCGATTGGGAAAGACCTGATTAATAATCCCCTACTAGCAATGCATAGTGTGGTGGTGCCCCGTAACAGCGAATAAGTTCGTCAAAATACCAAAATCTCAATCGGCGGCAAAAACCTGTTTTTTTTTAAAAATTTCTTATTTAACCCTCCACATGTAGCATATCAATGTACTACTCAGGACAACGATAGCTATCCAAATATTGCTAGAAAAATAACAAAGTTGACCTGTTTCAGCGTTTTTTTTTAATTACCGTTTTCAGAATAATCACATGTTCCGGGACTTTACGGACACACTGTATATATATATATATATATATATATATATATATGTTACGGCTAATGTGCAAACTTGGATAGTTTATAAACTAGCTGGATAGTTTATAAACTAGCCAAACTGTCAGCTATTTTAATTGAAAATTTCTAGTAACACAAAATAGCCAAGCCTTAGCTAGTTTGTAAACTAACCAACCAATTATCTGGCTAATTTATTAAAAAAGTGAGGTTACGGCATTGTTTTTCGTTTTGCCGGCTTAACCGAATTTGTTTTGTGCATTTTATCGTTTTTATAATGAATCATAGGCAAAATTTTAACGCTTCCTTGTTAGAAAACTCAATAACACAACCCTACCGACTCCGCCCCATTGACCCCCCCGCCCCATTGGTCAAATGGTCAAAAATGAGAGAAAAAAACCCAAACCAACCCAAACTCAACAACACAACCCAACCGACCCCGCCCCATTGGACCCCCCCCCGCCCCACTGAGCAAAAAACCCAAATAAAATGGGCAAAAATGAGAGGATTAGTTGGTTAGTTTACAAACTAGCTAAAGCTTGGCTATTTTGTGTTACTAGAAATTTTGGTTTTCATATTAGCCAAATTGAATTGGATAGTATACGAACTATTCAGCTATTTTAGTTTTCCTAATAATTTCAAGTAAATTAGCCAAGATCCTTGGTTATTTTGTAAACTAGCCGCTAATTTAGTTAAAAATACATTTTCAATTAAAATAGCTGATAGTTTGGCTAGTTTATAAACTATCCAAGTTTGCAAATTAGCCGTGACATATATATATATATATTGGCAAAAGATTTGCTTTAAATTTTACAAGTAAGGTTTTCCTTGTCTTTATTCATACTGGCAATTGTTTGCAAGAGTTTGTGTTATTATTTTTAATAATAAAAAATTTTTATTATGTATTTTATATTAAGAGATACCTACATACATACGTATGTATTTTTTGTTTTATTTTTATTGATAGGACCTGAAGAAATGTTATGTTTAATCGTGTTGATTTTATTTCATATCGCCTATTTTAGGCGCTTGAGGCCTATTTTAGGCACTTTCGGCCTAAAATGTAGGGTTTAATTGCCTATTTATGTATGTGGCCTAATTTCCAAGGGCCTAAAATCCGATCTTTGATAATAAGTTTTTTTTGTAAGTATTTTTGTTAAATAAAGACCTAAAGATAATATAATAACAGTCATAAAAATAATCAATTTTGAAATAATTGACAATATTTTTTTAGTAATTAATAATATTAAAATAATCGCTGGGAAAAAATTGTTATTGCCGATCTCTGGTTGTGACGTGCTAGCTAAATATTTCATATTTCATGCTTGACAGAAATGTAAAAAACACTCACCCTTCCACCAGCTGCAGTTTCAAGACCAGTACAAGCCGAGTTATCAGTACACTTGATAAGCTTACAAACGACTCCATTAACTGATCTTCTATCGAAATTAGCTTCAGGATCCTTATAATGAAACCTCGTTTGAGGCCTGTGAGCTTCGAAATTCTCCACCCTCTCCCTTAACCCCCTCACTTCTTGATGAATCTGCCTCCTTTGACCGGACAACTCCTCCATCCTCTCTTCAGAAAAGTTCATTTTTGCCAAACTTGCTTCAGTGGACTTGACTTCTTTCTCCAATCTCGCCAAATTCGCCTTATCCCCCTCATAATCTCCCGTTGTATTTCCCATTTCCCTACTCTTCTCCTTTAACTGTTGCTCGCAGAAAGTCAGCTGCATCGCAGCTTGCTTGCTCTCGGTCCCGGCCTGTGCAGCTGATTGTTTAGCGTTCATCAGTTGTTCTTGCAGGGTTTCAGCTTCGCCGTCCTCGTTCACTTCCATGCCGGCCGCGAGAGCTTCGTATTTTCGCTGCGAGATGGCGAACGCTTCGTTGTCTCGTGCGTCGTTTGATTTTAGGGTTTCGAATAGAGACTGGACTTTGCCGAGTTCTTCCTCCTTGGTTTTTAGCGCTTTTGAGTCGTCTATTATGTTCTATATTGAAAATTAGGTTTAAAATTAGGTTTAAATACATCGAAAACACATTATAAACATTTAAAATTTAAGGTTTCAATTAGAGATGTAAAAAAACGTTTTTTTTTTCAGTTGTGAAAAAAAACATGAAAAAAACCCTAGAAAAAAACGATTTTTTTGTTTTTCTTTTCAAAACCGCTGCAATAAAGCATATTCTGTCAATAAATATCATCAATCTTAAAAAATTGAGTAATTTTTCAAAATGAAATTTTGAGTAAAATGTATATTAATAACAAAGTGAAATGTAGAATATATTACATTTTTCATTATTGAACATTTGAGTATGAGTATGAGTATGGGAACGTATGGCAGGCCCCAGATATATTATCCTCCACGATCTCCCGGGGATATTTTACTGAACATTTGACAGAGACTAAAAAATCTGATTTTTTATTATTTCGTAGTTTACACATAAGAAACCAATAGCAATGTAAAACTTCTACACTAATAGAAAAAATTAAGGTGCGATTTTTCGGATAGCTGATCTTCGTTAAAAATGGTCG